GTCATGAAATTATATGATTTCATGACATTAAATTATTATAAATTTTAGGGATTTGCTGTATCCCAGACATTACTGAATGCATGGTCTCTTTTCCGTCTTTTATTTATACATCAGTTCATTCAACAAATACTTTTCAGGTGACCACAAAATTCAAGGCACCTTCTAGATTCAAGGAATAAAACACTAACAAAGTTCATAGCAAAAGCTTCACTTTCTAGCAAGAAAGTATGACGAGGCCAGGCTCTCCTCACAGAAGCATTTGTGAAAATGTTGTAAAGAAATGAAGGGGGAGCATTATGGTTCTAATATTTTTTTTTTTTTGGTTTTACGAGACAGGGTTTCTCTGTATTGTTTTGGAGGCTGTCGGTCCAGCCCGGCCTCGAACTCATAGAGATCCGCCTGCCTCTGCCTCCCGAGTGCTGGGATTAAAGGCGTGCAGGCGTGCGTGTCTCCACAGACTCATGTTTTGAAGTGTTGCTCCCCACCTTGGTGCTATCTTCAGTGCCGCATACCCTGTGAAAAGCGAGGCCTGGTTGGCAGAAGCATGGCACAAGATGTGTGTCTATAGGTCTTTGCCTGCCTCTGGTTCTGCTTGTAGCACCCACTCCCTGCTTCCTTTCCGGCACAATGTAGACAAACGGCTACCATCCGCTCCGGGAATTGGGTGGAACCATTCTGCCATGTCTGTCTAACTGCGATGCACGGTGGACCTCTGAAATGGTCCGCCAAAATGAAACCTCCCTTTCGTGAGTTGCTCCTTCCAGGTATCTGTCACAGTGACAAGAAATGTAACACAGTGAGCTTCGCGAGCTTCGTGGACACCTGGGGAAGAACACTGGGGATGAAAAGTCTGAGATGGGCTCAGTCTGCTGTGCTGGAGAAATCCCAGGCGCCAGTGAGGCAGAGCAAGAAGGAGCAGGTGCGGGAGAAGGTGCCAGGAACTGAGAACAGGCGGGGAGGACTAAACCTGGAGTGGTACTGGACAAAATGGTTATCTGTTTTGTTTTGAGTAGAATTTTTCCTTATAAGTAAAATGTGTAAGAAATGGGCTACAACTCTACAGATATAAACTTATCTTTCCATATATCAATATATTCTATTATCATAATGGATTTTCCAAAACCCATAAAATCTACACTGATACAATACTAATAATCAAATTGTGCATCATTTATAATTTTCAGTTTTACCAGTAATTTCCTTCTATTGTACCTTAGACTATGAGCAGATCTAGGATACTATCTGGCATTTCAGAATAAAGTTTGAGTACAGGAGTGACAGGCCTGATTCTGTTTTAGCAGTACTCGATATTATCTGTACTGGGATCCCATTAGCCACGACTTGTACGACACCATGCTAGAGTTATGAATATCCACCAGAAACCACTTACCCAGAGGTGGCTTATTCTAATCCAATATGACTTCAATTAGAGAAACTCATCGATTCCCACCACCAGGAGCTAAGTTAAACAGACATACCTTTGTGTGTATATCGATATACACTTAAAGGAAACCTTAAATGATTTTTAAAAATCTCAGCTCAGAAATAGCATTATTGTTCAAGGCGTTGATTACATCAATTACTCAAACACAATCCATAGCAGAGTAAAACATTTTGAATTTAGATTTTTATGTTCTAGTTATCGAGTTAAGTTGGGTTAAATTATTTAGTGTATGATTAAATATTATATACTATCAAGTTGCTCTAATGGCTTTGCATAACCAATAAAATACACAGTATACTTCACCAGGTGTTATCCATGAGGTACATTACTCAGACTTATATAGATAGAAAGCAGTGTGCTCTAGTTAACAAACTGAATCATATGGTTTACATTAGTACCATGTTAATCAACTGCAGTTCTAAATGATTATCTTTGGAGTCTAGTACTATGGAATTAACTCTCCCTATCCTGAAGAAGCTTCCATCTATGATAATGGACCCTTGCATTTTCTTATTAACATTGCTGACAAGGATAGTTGTCTAAATAATGGCACCAATTTTTCCATAGTATACCATTATGAGATTTACTAGTTTCTGAGTCAATTCCATCAACTGTCAGGAAGACATTTAATGATGAGTACATAGTCACCTACTAAAATAGCAACTAGAGAGTGCCCTGTAAAATAGGTGTGTGTTCATATTGTTTATTCTTCACACTGTTGGCATTTGTATACTTTGGATATCAGTTTTAGATGATATAGTTTTAATACAACTCAGGGAGAATTTGCCTGAAAATTAAAAATGCTTTCATTTTCATTGCAGTATTTTTCCATGCTAATATAATAATACATTTTAAACACTTTGGTATGGAAATTCTTGCTAATAGAAATCTATATTAAGAACTGTTTTTGTCCTTTGAAAGCTGCCCAAACACTATTCTTCCTGTTTACATATTTAATATAAATTTATAATTCCTACACTCATCCAAGAAAAGTCAACTAAAGGAGTAGGAAATGTAGATTTATATTAAAAATGTAAAAATTATTTAAGATGTCTTAACTACAGTAAAATAAGAAAAGTAGTTCTCTAAACATCCCACTGGATAAATGACCTGAGGAATTGTGGGGAAAAGATAATTGAAATAAATCATATTTCATGCAGATTTGTAAGAAAATGAATTGGTGCTACTCAAGGTTGTCTATGGATGTCCATGTTCTCAGGTAACTGCTACGTTAGGATTTGGGTGGTATCTCTTTTAAGGTGAATTTTATTAGCTAATATGTCACTGTGTGCAGCCAGAAGTACTTTTCAACTTTTGGTTTGTACAGAACTACTGAGTCGGGTCATCTCATTGTTGTGCCTTCACTGCCGTGGATGGATGGGTGAGTTAGGTTATCTGCCCATTCAGAGGGTATTCTGAACTGGCATTGTCTTTGCTTCTTTTCCTGAGTAGACATAGAATGTGTCATCTAGAGGCAAACAAAATGACCTTGCATTCATTTTAAAGAGAATTTGATGTGAAAATACTGTAAAATTAATTGAAAGTGTATTAATATTCTGGAAGAAATATGATAATTGTGTGACTTGAATTAAAATCATCATATCATGATAGGGAGTGTCCCTTCAGAAAAAGTGGAAAACAACAAAAGGCCTGTCTGTTATTCAAAACACCTTTCAAACAGATGATGCACAGAGTAAATCACGTCACTGTGACAAGGCAATATCCAGTTTGGTGATCACTGGATGTCAATAAATCATTATTTCAGAGGGAATAAATCTGCAAACATTTTTGTCCCTTATTGTAATTGTGGGTAATACTTACTTTATGGAACTCATATTCCTTAGTACCAGTAGGAAATAATCTTCATATTATTATTACTATTACTGTGGTGCTATTGTATAGTAACAACATAAGTAAGAGATAATAGTCAGCTTATGAAACACTGTGGATGAGGTATATTGTTGATTGCCTATTATTTACATGACTGAAAATTATAACTTTATTTCTCTTTTTCTTTTTTGTGGACCCTAACATTGTTTTTAATAAACTTTCCTCATTTGGAATGACAATGATTTTGCTTCAAGAGCCTACCAAATACAAAAACCAATACCAGGTAGAAGAAACTCTTTTTGAGTCAGGAATGTTCAAGACACTCCCAAAGCATGTAGCTTCCACCTATACCTTTTGGTTCCCTCTCAGATGTGGAAGGAAAACTTCCTGCTGCTTAAGAAAACATGCACTGTTCTCTTGGATCTCCTAGCCTGGTAAATGCAGCCAGGTCAACTCACCCCCCAGAGGACCAAGCAACCAGGAGCCTGCAGAGAGTACCTGTCTACTCCAGCACCCACTCAGGGCAGAAAGGCGCTCCTGACCCCTCGGTCCCAACTTCCTTCCAATTACCATCCCTGTGATCTCCTGACATAGAGACTGCAGACAGAACGACTCATCCCCCAGCTCACCAAGCAATCTCCAGTCACATGATACCTCTGTGCTAATCCAGTTCCTACCCACGGGGAGAGGTAGTGCCTCAAACCTATCTGTATCCACCTTGAGACCTATCAGAGTATTCACCTCCTGGAATAAAACCTTGGTCCTGTACCCACCAGGAAAGGAAGAGACACCACCTGTACCCACTGGAAAAAGAGATAGGAAGACAACATAAGAACACTTTCAACAACAGAAAAACCTATATGATGCCAGCAGAGTCTACGGACTCTACACTAGCAAGATCTGAATATCACAACACAGATGAAGCAGAAGAGAACGACCTTAAAAGAACTTCATGAAGATGATAGAGACCCTAAAAGAGGAAATGAGAAAATCCTTTAAAGAAATGAAAGAAAAGACAATCCAAAAATTGCAGGAAATAATTCAAATAGTGCAAGGCTTGTAAGCTGAAACAGAGACTATTAAATAAACACAGTCTGGAGGAATTCTGGAATTAGAAAAGGTGACTAAAGGATTAGGAGCTACAGACTCAAGTGTAACCAACAAAATACAAGATATGGAAGAGAAATAGATTCATCGACCAAAGAAAATCTTAAGTCCAACAAATTCCTAACATAAAATACCCAGGAAATATAGGAAACCATGAGAAAGCCAAATCTAAGAATAATAGGGATAGAAGAAGGTGAAGAAACCCAACTCAAAGGGTAGAAAACATATTCAACAAAGTCATAGAAGAAAACTTTCCCAACCTAAAGAAAGACATGCCAATGAAAATACAAGAAGCCTACAGAACACCAAATACAGTGAACCACAACAAAGTCCACTTGCTACAAAATAATGACAACACCAAATATACAGAATAAAAAAGAATATTAAGAGCAGTAAAGGAAAATGGCCAAGTAACATATAAAGGCAAACACCTTTCAGAATCACGCCTGACTTCTCCATGGAAACTCTGAAAGCCAGAAGATCATGGATAGATATTCTACCAACATTAAGAGACCACAGATGCCAACCCAGACTACTATACCCAGCAAAGCTTTCAGTCACTATAGATGGAGAACACAAGATATTCCACCACCAAACCAGATTTAAACAATACATATCTGTGCTCACTTCAGCAACACATATACTAAAATAGGAATGATACAGAGAAGATTAGCATGGCCCCTGCACAAGGATGACATGAAAATTCGTAATGCATTTCATATTTTTAGCAAAACTTCAACCCAATGAAGATACCTACACTCACAAAAAAAAAGAAATAGATAATCCCACTTTACCAAACAACAAAACAAAAAAGGAAGGGAGCATACAAACACCACCACAAATAAATAGAGGAGTCTAAAATGGTTGAGAGATGCTTAAAAAAGTGCTCAACATCCCTAGCTATTAGGGAAAGGCAAATAAAAACAACCCTGAGATACAAACTTACACAGGCCAGAATGGACAAAATAAAAAACACCAAGGACAGTTTATGCTGGAGAGGATGTGGAGAGAGGGGAACACTCCTCCACTGCTGGTGGGAGTGCCAACTTGTACAGCCACTTTGGAAATCAGTATGGAGATTCCTCGGGAAAATGGGAATTAGTCTACCACAAGATCCAGCAATTCCACTCTTAGGCATATACCCAAAAGTTGTGCATTCATACAACAAGGACATCTGTTCAACTATGTTCTTAGCAGCATTATTTGTAATAGCCAGAACCTGGAAGCAACCTAGATGTCCCTCAAATGAAGAGTGGATAGAGAAAATGTGGTACATTACATAATGGAGTACTATTCAGTGGAAAAAAACAATTTAATCTTGAAATTTGAAGGCAAATGGATGACACTAGAAGAAATCATCTGAGTAAGGTAACCCAGCCACAAAAAGGCAAACATGGCATATACTCACCCATATAAGGATTTTAAACATGAAGCAGGGAAGTGCCAGCCTGCAATTCCATGGTCAGAGTGTCTGGTAAACAGGGAGGACCCTAAGAGAGATATGCATGGTACCCCAGAGAAGGGGAATGGGACAGGATCTCCTGAATGGACTGGGAGTATGAGTGAAGGGAAGAGAGAACTGGGGAAAAGAGAGGGAAAGAAGAGAAGGGGAGAGGAGGACATGGGGCAGCAGGAAGTTTGAGTCAGGGTAATAATAGACGAGAGATACCATAATAGAGGGAGTCATTATAGGCTTGAGGAGAGATCTGGCACTAGTGAGATTTCCAGAGATCTACAAGGATGACACCAACTGGTAGTCTAAGTAATAGTGGAGAGGCTACGTAAATGTACTTCCCTGATAATAAGATTGACAACTCCCTTGTATGCCATCCTAGAGCCTTCATCCAGTGGCTGATGGAAGCAGAGACAGACACCCACAGCTAAGCACTGGAGTGAACTCCTGGAATCCAGTTGCAGAGAGAGAGGAGTGATTAGCAAAGGGGTCAAGATCAGGAGGGTGAAAGTCCCAGAAACAGCTGACCTGAACAAGTGGGAGCACATAGGCCCCAGGCTGATGGCTGAGAGGCCTGCATGGGACTGATCCAGACCCCTGGAATGTGCGTGTCAGTGAGGAGGCCTCAGCATTCTTTGGTGCTAGATCAGTATTTATCCCCAGCATCCAAATTGACTTTGGGAGCCCATTCCACATGGAGGGATACTTTCTCAGCCTGGCCACATGGGGGAGGGGAGGGTGTAGGCCCTGTCCTGGGTGATATGACAGACTTTGGAGATTCCCCCATGAAGGGTCTCACCCTCCTGGGAGAGTGGAGTGGGGGTTGTTGGGTTGTTGAGGGGCAGGGCAGAAGGGAAGGGAGAGGGAGCTGGGATTGACATTCTTGTTTCTAATTTAAATATAAATAAAAAATAAATAAATAGAAACCCTGCATTTCAGAAATGGAGCCCAGAGACCTCTGAGATAGAACTGACCTTAGTCCTTTCTCCCTAAGCACTAGCTTTGAAGGTACTAGAAGACACCATGGAGGCTTTCAAGTGTATTTTCTTGTATTCTATCCCCACCTTGGGAGGCCAAAATGTGGTTGTTTGGTTTTTTTTTCTTTTGGCTTTTTTTTTTCTCTTTTGGGAGCCCATCACCCAGATCGCAACTAAATAACACACAGAAGGAAGCTTATTCTTACTTATGAATGCTGGGCCTTATCTTGACTTTTTTTCTTGCCAGCTTAAGAAATGCTTAAATGATCCTGACTATCTTTTGCTTCTGGGCTTTTTCCTTTTCTTACTTCTGTAAATCTTACTTTTACTCTTACTCCATGGTTGGCTGAGTGCCTGGCCCCTGACATCCTCCTCTCTTTGCTCTTGCTCCATTTTTTTTTATTTTTGTGATTGTGATGTAATTTCAGAATTTCTCTCTTCCCTTTCCACCTCACAAACTTTCCCACATACCCACCCTTGCTCATTTTTAAATCCATAGCCTCTTGTTTCATTTATTGCTATTATATACATATATGCATATACATTTATATTCCAAAATATAATCAGCCTTTCCTGGAGAATGTTACTTGTGTGAATTTTTTCATGACTGACCATTTTGGATATCTAATTGGTATACTCTACCTTGGAGAGGACTATTTCTCTTGCTCTCAGCATTTTTTTAGTTCTTTGTGTAGACTTGAGGCCATGTGGGCTTTCTCCTGTCTTCTTTGGCATGGTTTTTGTTATTGGCCTTGTTCAGCTCGTTTTTAGGCATTCATGTTGGTGAGACTATGTGGGTGGGTATAGCTTCTGACATTCCCAAGAGATGCAACCTAACAACAAAATCCCTGACTGGACTCTGGGAGAATGGCTCAGTGTTCAGTTATGGGTGCCTGTCTCTGCTTCGATCAGCTACTCAGTCAAGGCTCTAGAAATGGTAACCAAGGTAGTTATCAATCCTACTATAGGGGAAGGACAGCCTCTTTACCACTGCCTAGATTCTTAGTAGTGACATCCCTGTGGATCCCCTACCATTTACTCTGTGCCAGACCTCCCTCCAAACCTGTACTCGCTCCCTTTATCAAGGCATCTCCTTTCTTGCCCTCCTCAATGTCTCCTGGGAGATGCCATTCTGTAAATCTGTCTCTTATTGGTTGTTGAATAAAGCACTGTTGGCCAATAGGAAATCAAGATATGTGGGACTAGGAGTCGAGCAGGATTCTGGGAAGAAGAAACACAGGGAGTCATCATGTAAGAAGAAACACAGGGTAAGAAGTCTGGATCCTATTCTCCACTAAGAGAAATACTTAGATTAACAATTATGGAGTAAATACTTAAGTCAGAGCTAGCCAGTAAAAAACAAGCAAGGCCAATGGCTTCATAATTAATACAGTGTCTTGTGTGTTATTTGGGGACTAGAATGCAGCAGAGCCCAGGAGACTGGTGGAGAAAAGCCAAAGCGGCTGGCAAGGAAAAGGCTTCACTCAACACTCCCCTGCCTCAGTCCACCTGTTCTCCAACCCACCTATCCCCCATCCTCCTGTCACCTTTCCATCCCCCTCTTCTTTCCCCACGTGCTCCTGATTTGCTCAGGGGTTCTTGTCGCCCTCCCCTTCTTCTGGGGACCATGCATTTTTCATATATGGTCCTCCTTGTTTCCTAGCTCCCCTGGCAGTGTGGATTGCAGGCTGGCAATCATCTGCTCCTTGTCTAAAAACCATATATGACTGAGTATATACCATACTTGTCTTTTTGTGATTGGGTTACCTCGCTCAGAATGGTCTCCTCTAGTTCTATCCATTTGCCCACAAATTTCATGATTCCAATGTTTTCTTCTGGTGAGTAGTACTCCATTGTGTAAATGTACCAAGTTTTCTCTATCCGTTCTTCAATTGAGGGGCATCTAGGTTGCTTCCAGCTTCTAGCTATTACAAAAAACTCTGCTATGAACATAGTTTCACATATGTTCTTGTGTTATGAATGTGCATTATTTGAGTATATGCCTAGGAGAGGAATTGCTGAGTCTTGAGGTAAAATCATCCCCATTTTCCTGAGAAATCACCATACTGATTTCCAAAGTGATTGTACAAGTTGGCATTCCCACCATCGAGGAAGAGTGTTCCTTTTTCTCCACATCCTTTCCAGCATGGACTGTCATTGGTGTTTTTTATTTTGTCCATTCTAGCTGGCGCAAGGTGGTATCTCAGAGTTGTTTTGAGTGGCATATCCCTGATGGGTAAGAATGTTGAGCAATTTCTTAAGTGTCTTTCAGCCATTTTATATTCCTCTATTGAGAACTCTCTATTTAGTTCTGCTCCTCACTTTTTAATTGAATTGTTTGGTGTTCTTGTAGCTAGCTTCTTGAGTTTATTGTATATTTTGGAAATCATCTCTCTGTCAGATATGGAGTTGGTGAAGATCTGCAGGAAGACTGGACCCAGAGATTGGAATTTGCTTGTGTGAAATGAAGTCACGTGGACAGAAATAACTGTGTTAGCGTACAAGATCTACTGGTCCAAGCCTGGAGTGTGGGGGTATGTATGTCTGGCTGGACAGAAAGGTTGAATATGGCATAGGAGTGTCCCTTAGTTAGAAGACCAGTAGAGAGTGTCCTGACCAAGACCATTTTTGGTGCAGGCACAAAAGATCAATGTAGGCAGGGGTACTAACCTTGGATATATCTGATGGATTTGTAGGGGAGGTATGAAATGTGGAAAGTCAGAAAGAGTCTTATGGCTAGACCCTGAAAAAGGAAGTGGGAAATTTAACTTGGTGGTGTGATTAGATGCAATTCAGAATGGACAATTACAGCTTCCAGATGAAGCCTAGAGGTTGGCTTGCTGCATATGTTGTTTTAGCCAGAGTAGACCAGGACACTGAATGTGAAACTCTGGGTATATCTAGAAGGTTGAGGAGAAAGCAGGGCTTTGGAGTACATGGAGACTTACAGGGCTAGATTCTGGAGAAGGACATGATGGCATAATAAGTCTGATTCTATCATAATTTTCTCATGCCATTGATTGTGACCAACAATAGAGTATATAAAGTAAAAAGCTAAAGTAAGTAGCTGTTAATTCTGGAATTCAGTGGGAATTCTACCTTATATGATGCCTACCTATGATAACAAATTTATTATCACTATATTTTAATTTTATCTAATAGTACTTAGTGGTCCATAGCTCATGCAATTTTGTTTAACCTGCAGGAAGAGAATTGCATGGATCCCAGGACAGCTATGAATGTGGCCCAACACAAAATCATAATCTTAAAGCACTATGAATATTTTTCAGATTTATTTTAACTAGATAGAACTGTACTGAAGCATAACCTTTAAATATGAGCATCATGCAATATCATGATTGTACATATCTTTTTATACTTAGATTTGAAGAGTCACATATATACCATAAAAATAAATATACATATAGTCTCACTATTTAAGGATATTTTGAGGGAGAATCTTTTGAGGTAGACTTTTAATATCTCAAACAAACCAAGACATAACTATTATTTACACCCATCTAGCTGCATAATCACTGATTTAAAACTCAATGACAAATAATGAACTTTATATCTGAATCAGAAATCTATTTAAGCATGAGAGTTTTCAATTTCACTTACATTGCACTCAAGCTCTTTACTAAATTATATGGACTTATATCACTAAGAAGTCTAGGTTCAGTTCTTATAAAATTATTTTATTAACTCTTACATATTCTTTACTAGAACCAAAAGTTGGGTCATGGGGACTTCTCTATAGTTACTGGGGGAAAACTAACTAAGAGAAGATATTTATACTCAAGTTGGGCTTGATGCCAAACTCGCAGCAATTCTCAGGGTATCCTGTTAAGTTCTACATTTTTACACATTTCAAATATAAACAAATACAATAGTCTTGGTTGAAAACATATATTCTAAAACTGAAAATGAACAAGAAATTTTGAATCTTTGGATATTGTACATGCACTGTGTATTCTTAAATATAAGTTGCTGCTATTAGGATCTCAAGATCTGGTGAGTGCCGCCTCACAACTTCTACCCAGTACCGTTAAATCTGGACCAACTTATACCTTAATGTATCTGTTCAAAGATGTACAGTACAAAAGAAAACATGCAAAAGACTCATTCATCAGAGCACTCATCATATATCAACTATATCTAAATTCAGATTCCTCAAGAACTGCTTCTTTAAACCTGACTTCAGTCTTCCCACCTAGTCTTTCATCAGTTTTGAACAACCAGTCATAACTATTTTTTCTTGAATTCACCTCCATTCCATATACAATTTATTTATTTTTAGTTAAAATCTGAACACCCTAATATTAACCCATATATGTACGAACACCTAATCTTTGACAAAGAAGCTAAAAGTAAGCAATGGGAAAAAGAAAGCATCTTCAACAAATGGTGCTAGCATAATTGGACACTGGCATATAAAGACTGCAGATTGATTCATGTCTATTGCCATGCACAAAACTTAAGTCTGAATAGACCAACATAAATCCAGCCACACTGAGCCTTTTAGAAGAGAAAGTGGGAATTACCCTTGAACCAATTGGCACAGGAGACTGCTTCCTGGATATAACACCAGTAGCACAAACAGTAAGATCGACAATTAATAAATTGGACCTCCTGAAACTGAGAAGCTTCTGCAAGGCAAAGGACATAGTCAACAAGACAAAATGACAGCCCACAGAGTGGGAAAAGACATTCACTAACCCCACGTCTGGCAGAGGGCTGATCTCCAAAATTTACAAAGAACTCAAGAAGCAAACCTCCAAAACACGAAAGGGTCCAATTAAAAAGTGGGGTACAGAACTAAATAGAGAATTCTCAATAAAGAAGTCTAAAATGGCTAGGAAACACTTAAGAATGTGCTCAACATCCTTAGCAATTAAGGAAATGCAAATCTAGACAACTCTGAGATATCCTCTTACTTCTGTCAGAATGGCTAAAATCAAAAACACCAATGACAGTTTATGCTGGAGAGGAAGTAGAGAAAGGGGAATACTCCTCCATTGCTGGTTGGGGTGCCAACCTGTAAAGCCACTTTGGAAATCAGTATGGAGATTCCTCAGGAAATTGGACTCAGCCTACCATGAGACCCAGCAATTCCACTCTTAGCACATTCATACAACAAGGACCTCTCTTCCATTATGTTCATACCAGCATTATTCGTAATATCCTGAACCTGGAAGCAACCTAGATAGATGCCCCTCAACTGAAGAGTGGATAGAGAAATTGTGGTACATTTACACAATGGTGTACTACTCAGTGGAAAAAACAATGGAATCTTGAAATTTTCAGGCAAATGGATGACACTAGAAGAATCCATCCTGAGTGAGATAACCCAGTCACAAAAAGACAAACATGGTATGTACTCACTCGTATTTGGATTTTGGACATGGATCGGGGAATGCCAGCCTACAGTACCACTGCCAAACTTTCATCCAGTGACTGATGGATGAGAGACAGATACCTACTGCTAAACACTGAACTGAACTTCTGGATCCCAGTGACAAGAGAGGGAGGAGTGATGAGCAAAGGGGCCAAGACCCTGCTAGTGAAACCCACAGAGACAGCTGACCTGACAAGAGGGAGCTCTTGGACCCTAGACTGATGGCTGAGAAGCCAGCATGGGACTGACCCAGACCCCCTGAATGTGGCATTAGTGAGGATGCCTCAGCAATCTCTGGGGTCTTGGGTAGTAGATCAATATTTACCATGGTGTACAAATGAACTTTGGGAGTCCATTTCACATGGAGGGATGCTCTTTCAGCCTGGACACATGGGTAAGGGACTAGGCCGTGCCCTGTATGAAATGACAGACTCTGGAGATCCTCCATGGAGGGCCTCACCCCCCTTGGGGAACGGTATAGGGATTGGGCAGGAGGGCTGGGGAGCTGGTGGAAGGGCAAGGGAGGAGGGGAGAAAGAGGGAGTTGGGATTGACATGTAAAGCAAGCTATTTAAAATTAAAGTAATAAAAAAGTTTTAAAAATCTATTATATCATTCCCCTACTTTTCTCTCTGACCCCTTTCATGCACACCTGCTTCCTCTGCTCCCTCTCAAATTCATATCTTCTGTGTCTGTAATAGTTTTAGTAATTACTTCTTTTATATTTGAGATTACAATGTAATTGCATCATCCCTCTTACCCTTTCTTCCCTTCAAAACCTCTCTTTGCTCTCTTCTAAATTCTTCGCCACTTTTTTCACTAATTGTTGTTACATGCAGATATGTAAATGCATATATATATTCCTACATGTGACCTTCTCAGTCTGTGTGATGTTACAAATACGTATATTTTTTTTCAGGGACTGACCATTTGGTATTGGATAACCAATCGTATGCTCTTCCTTATTCTCCCACTCTCAGCATTCATTCATTAGTTGTCTGCAGTTCCTTGTGTAGGGTTGAAGCCCTGTAGGCTTTCTTCCATCCACTTTGCATGTCCATCTTTGTCCTTGTTATCTCATGTCTAGGCAGTCACACTGGTGAGACTTTGTGGATGCAGCTTCTGACTACTAGAAGACAGTCTTACAGCTCTTCTGATCTTTGGTTCTTACAGGCTTTCTTCCTCTCTTCTTCAACATTCCCTTAGCTTTAGGTGGGGGAGTAGCTTTTTAGATATATATCCAGTTATGACTGAGATTTACAACTCCTCCTTTTTATTGGTTGTGGTTTTATGTAATGTTCTCTGTCTGTTGCAAGAAGATGTTGTCTTGATAAGAGGTGAGGATAAATATTTAGAATGTAGTCAGGGATTGTGCAGGTTTAGTAAAATGATGATTGTAGGTTCACCCTGTAAGATTCGTGTCTATATTATCTCTAGGTAGTTGGCAAGGTTTCTTATGCAAGGAATAATTTCCTTCTTGTTGCATAGGGCTTAATGTTTTTAAACTCTTCTATTTAGTAAGACAAAGTGGGAACACAGCTTCTCATTACTACAATTATGGAGTCTATTGTCTAGGATTTGGGAAGATCATATCTCAGGGCTCAACACTCCTGGAATACAAAGCATAAGCTCACCCTGGGAAAACCACTTTTGTGATCATGATATCTTCCAATCCTGGTTACTATTTTTCTTTAATTATTGATTTACACACACACACACACACAGAGAGAGAGAGAGAGAGAGAGAGAGAGAGAGAGACAGAGACAGAGACAGAGACAGAGACAGAGACAGAGACAGAGACAGAGACAGAGGAATAATTATATAAATGTATCCTGCTTAGTACATTTAGTGATGCTTGTGTGTATATATATTTTTAGAGATAATCAAGTAGTATTGGATAGCCAAAAAGAGAGGTTATCCCTGGAGAAGCCTAATTCTTCCTTTACCAGCAGTCATTACTTACCTATGTCTCTTCATCTAGAGATAGAGAACTCTTTGAGACTTTTTTCCATCTACATTGCCATGTCCATTGATATTGTCACTATTCCAGTCTTGTTTAGACATCCATGTTGTTGAGATATCGTGGGTGTACCTTCCTGTCATTTCTTGAAAACACAATCTGGCAGGAGACTTCCTGGTCCTCTAGCCCCTGTAATTCCTCCCTCTCCCTTCTGTAATATTCACTGAACCTTAGATGTAAGGATTGTGTTTTAAATGTTTGAACTAGACTTGGAATCCCTATGGTCAGTTGTTCTTTACATTTTGATTGATTTGGCTACCATAATGGCCTCCATCTGGTAAGTAGTTAGGGTCAGAGAGTTAGGACCCAAATGATTATGGAGGTAGCCATTAAAAAGTAACTGTTAGAAGAGACGAACAAAATTCTTCCTTAGTATAATAGGTAATGATAGCTTATATATCTTTGACATTTTGTAATTCTATTGGTTTGTATGTAAATAATTCCAATTATAGAGAATATGGCTAAAAGGCATAAAAGTATTGGGTTTGCTTAAATCTTATATATCAGTTATTTGAATATTCCTTTGAAATAAATTAGGTAGCAGGCCATCATAAAGAATTTTAGTTCAAAGACTACTTTGACAGAATCAAAATGACTTTAGATTCAAAACTTACCTCAAGGTTTTATCTGACTATGGGAAAAACAAGAAAAATACCAGATACCTTATTCACCACCAGATATCTTCTTCATAAAAAGATTCCCTTACTGGGAAATCTGGAAAATAAAACATATTTCAGTTGTATCTGTATTTCGACTTTCTACTACTTCTGTTTTTTAAAATGTCAAATGACACTATTAGTTTGAAGGAATATTATGTCATTTTTAAGATTCACTCATTTGAGTGTGTAGTTTCATTACTATAATGTTTTATCAGTAAATTAAGGTTTTATAATAGTTTGGTTGCTAAGAAATTTTATAGATGATACCCAAGTATTGTGACATTTAATTAATTAATATTGGAAGAATATTATTTTACTTACAATAGATAGTACTTCCTTACATGTAAAGCCCACTCAATATTTTGCATTTATTTGTCCCTTGTACTGTGGCAGAACAAGTTCTGGGCTCTACATTATGTGGCCAGAGAAATGTCTCAGCAGTTAAGAGTACTTGTTGCTCTTTTAGAAGACCCAAGTTTAATCACCAGACTACACATCAGCAGCTCACAACTACCTGCATCTTCAATTCCAGTGGATCTGATGACTTCTTCTGGCCTATACAGGCACTAGCACACACATGTAAACACACACACACACACACACACACACACACACACACACAGGAAGAGAGAGAGAGAAAAATAAAACTTTCAGAAAACTATATTGCAGTTTAGCATTTTATGTATTTTAAAGATTTTTATCAATTAAGATTGCTGTATGTAATAGGAACATTGTTCAGTTATCATTAAACTCAATTTATAAATAACATTATAAAACTCAAAGTGTTTTCTAAATTACTCATAGAAGTTTCATTCTTCCAAAGTATTTCATCATCCATTGAATAGACATATGGTTTTTCTACGTTTAAAAGTCATGAAAGAAACTGTACTAGAACCTGTAATTTCTCTTCAAGTGACACACACAACATGACTGAAAATATAGTAATTACATGGAGCTCTTCTTGGAAGATTTTCCCAACTTCCAAAGTGATTCCTAAAGAAATGTCTATAAATGAAGTAAAGAGACTCATCAAGACAATGTCTATTTTCTTTTTCAAAGAATTTAACAGAAAAATAATGGATGGCAAACAAGAATAAGAAAAAGATACTCTGTACCATATGCCATGGGGAAATGTTAACTAGAACAAGATTACATTACAGACCTAGAGAATGTCCAAAATCAAAAACAATAACCACACAGAATGTTGGCAGGACTTCAGTAACTCTCACAAGCTAAATCCACCCTTAGCATGTGATCCCAAAATTGTTTTCCTTATTGTTTACTCAAAGAACTTGATAGCCATTGCACACTAGGAAATCTGCACCCAGGTGTTCACAGCAGCTGCTTTGACTGCTGCCTGAACTTGGAGGCTATCAAGATGCCCGTTAGTAGATGGCTGGAAAAGTACCCTGGGATATAGTCACACAAAGAAATGTTCAAACTTAAGAGGAAATGAGCTGTCTAGCGATGAGATGATATGGAGGAGTCTTTATAAATAGAATCAAGTGAGAGAAGGCCATCTGCAAAGACTATATACTAAACTACTACAACTATTTCCATCTTAGAAACGGTTAGGTATTGTGGGGAGATGGATCAGTGCAGAATAGTTCTAGAGTAATTACAATACTCTGCATTACCATTTCCTTGGTATACATACAAAGGAGAACACAACTGTTGAAATACAAAAGATAAAATAGTAGGGATTTTGACATTTAAGAGAATTGGTTTTGTAATACATTTTATTTAAATTAGAAAATATCTTATTGTACATAACAATCCCAGTTCCTTCTCCCTCTCCTCCTCCCATGCTCCCCAACAACTCCGTCTTCCAATCCCCCATCCACTCCCAAGGAAGGGTGAGGCCTTCCATGAGGGACCATTAAAATCTGTCATTTGGGGCAGGGTCTAGGCCCTTCCCAGTGTATCTAAGCTATGAGAGTATCCCTTCATGGGAAAAACGGCTCTCCAAGTCGATTTTTGCACTAGGGATACATCCTGATTCCACTGCCAGAGGCCCCATAGACTTCTGGGTGCTCCTAGCTGACACCCACATTCAGGGGACCTGGTTTGGTCTTCTGTTGGTTCCCCAGCTATCAGACTGGGGTCCATGAGTTCCCACTTTCTTAGGTCAGCTGTTTATGTAAGTTTTCCCAGTGTGGTCTTTACCCCTTTGTTAGTCACTCCTCCCTCGCTGAAGCTGGATTCCAGGAGTATGGATTAGTGCTCAGCTGTGGGTCTCTGCTTCTGCTCCCATAAGCTACTGGATGAAGGCACTGCTCCCATAAGCTACTGGATGAAGGCACTGGGATGACATCATCATTCTCATTATAGAGGAGGGGCCTTTAAGATAGCCTCTCCACTGCTGCTTAGCTTCCTAGTTGAGATCATCCTTGTGGAACTCTGTACAATTTCCTAGTGCCAGATTTCTCTTATATCTATAGTGGCTCCCTCTAAAGATGTGTCCTTTTTCTTGTTCTCCTCTATTCCTCTCCCCACTAAATATTCCTGAACCCTCATGTTCTCCTCCCCCTCCTCATCTCCCCTCCTCTTTCTCCTACATCCCTCCTACTTGCCCCCATGCTTCCAATTTGTTCAAAGGCTCTTGTCTTTTCTGCTTCATTGGGGGAACATGTATGTCTCTCCTAAGGTCTTCCTTGTTTTCTTGCTTCTCTGGAGGTGTGGATTGTAGGCTGGTAATCCTTTGCTCTATGCCTAATATCCATATATGAGTGAGTACATACCATGTTTGTCTTTCTGTGACTGGGTTACTTCACTTAGGATGATTTCTTCTAATGCCATCCATTTGAGTGCAAATGTCAATATTCCTTTGTTTTTTTTTCTGCTGAGAAGTACTCCATTGTGTAAATGTACCACATTTTCTGTTTCCATTTTTCAATTTGAGGGACATCTAGGTTGCTTCCAGGTTCAGGCTATTACAAATAATGCTGCTATGAACATAGCTGAACAGATGTCCTTGTATGAATGTGCATCTTTTGGGTATATGCCTAAGAGTGGAATTGCTGGATCTTGAGGTAGACTGGTTCTCATTTTCCAGAGAAACCACCATGCTGTTTTCCAAAGTAGCTTTACAAGTTTGCACCCCTACCAGCAATGGAGAAGCACAACCCTTTCTCCACATCCTCTCCACCACAAACTGTTGCCAGTGCTTTTTCTTTTAGCCATTATAATGGGTGTAAGATAGTATCTCAGAGTTGTTTTGATTTGCATTTCACTGATGAGTAAAGATGCCAAGCAATTTCTTATGTGTCTTTCAGCCATTTTGGATTCCTTAATTGAAAATTCTCTGCTTACTTCTGTATCTCACTTTTTAATTGAATTATTTGGTGCTTTTATGACTAGCTTCTTGTAAATTTTAGAGATCAGCCCACTGTCTGATGTGGGGTAGGTGAAGATCTTTTCACATTTTGTGGGCTCCTATTTAGTCTTGTTGATTGTGTCCTTTGCCTTACAGAAGTTTCTCAGTTACAGGAGGTCCCATTTATTAATTGTCAATCTCAGTGTCTGTGCTACTGATGTTATGTTCAGGAAGCAGTCTCCTGTACCAGTTTGTTCAAGGGTACCTCCCACTTTCTCTTCTAAGAGGTTCAGTGTGGCTGAATTTATGTTGAGGTATTTGATACATTTGGACTTAAGTTTTATCCGTGGAGATAGACATGGATCTATCTGCATTCTTCTACATACCAGCATCCAGTTATGCCAGCACCAGTTGTTGAAGATGCTTTCTTTTTTCCATTGTATACTTTTAGCTTCTTTGTCAAAGATTAGGTGTTTGTAGGTGTGTGGGTTAATATCAGGGTCTTCAGTTTAATTACATTGTTCTACCAGTCTGTTTTTGTGCCAATACCAAGCTGTTTTCATTAGTATAGCTCTATAATAGAGCCTGAAGTCAGGGATGGTGATAGCTCCTGAAGTTCCTTCATTATACAGCATTGTTTTGTCTATCCTGGGTCTATTGTTTTTCCACATAAAGTTGAGTACAGTCCTT